ATGACATGTAGGAGGAGATGTATGAAGGCAGCAGACCAAGAAGTGATTTAAAGATGAAAATGTACCAGTGAGAGAGTCTGCGTGAAGTTAATGATGACCAGTTAACCAGTGAATACAGGGTGCAGTGGTGGGTACGATAATCACAGCCAGTTATGAATCTTAGTGCACCATGACAGACAGCATCCAACATTGAGCGTTCATGTAAATAATGTCACCGTAATCAATTTAATAAAAATAAAATAAAAAAATGTTAAACTCTAGTAGAGTAGCTGTAAATCTGAACATAGAAACATGCATAACTATTTAAGCATCACTTGTGTATATGCTTGGTAAGCTTTTAAAGCAAGGTGTTGCACATAAATGAGTATTATAAATGAAAAAAAAAAATAACTAGCAAAAACTATATTAAAAATGAATTACAGCCAAATTTGATAAACCTAGAAAATAAAATAACTATCAAATGGCCCAAAATTTGAACTAACATTTTTTTTTTTCATTTAGCCTTTATTTATCCAGGTTAGTCTCATTGAGCCACGAGAACTCATTTTCAAGAGAGACCTGTTTAGGGAGCACATGGTGGGGTTAAGGACCTTGCTCATGGGCCCAGAGTGGGGCGAATGAGGGTGGGGGCAAGTGTGGGTGTTTCACCTACCCCACCCACAATTTTTTTGATGTTGTCGGGGCCGGGACGTGAACCGGCGATCTTCGGATCACAAGCCCACCTCTCTAACCTCTGCGCCACCACTCCCCTAAAAATATCTTGCGTTGTCGGCAGGATCATTCTTCTGTTTAAATCATTTGAGAATACGAAGATTATTGGAGGAGTTTAACTATTAAACATGCACAAATTATACTGTTGAATTTATGCAAGTAAATCTCCCTTACACATGACAAGTACCCATAGGTGGTTCTCTGGTTCGATCAGGAAACACATGCTCTGATTCAAAATAAAAGCCCATAATGGCGTTTAACACAAACCTCTAACCAAAAAAAGTCCATGCTTAATAATCCAGGTATACAATCCAACAATTTTCAATCAGGTCATGTGGATAGTTTCTTTTTTTGCTGAAACATTTCACCTTCCAAACCTGTAAGTACAGCCTAATACAAGTGAGCCGAAACAAATTTTAGGAAGAGGCAGCACAGCAGATAAAACATGAAACACCAAGACTTTTTGATGAAACCCATATTTGAAGTTTATGTTTTGTTTAAAAGATTTTGAAAGTTCAAAAGTCTCTTTTATGGAAGGGAGGCTGACTTGAAAAAAAAAAAAAAAAGAAGGGTTACCTCAGGTGTGTTAATGAGAGCAGCATTCACCTTCTGCACCTGTGCATGCTGCTTACCTGCAGGTGCAAAAGCAAATCCTCCTCTGGGAGGAATGCACCACTAGCTTTTTTTTCCAAGTCAAAATGTCTGTGGAAAAAGGATGACTGAACCATTTCTGCGTGCATGTGGGTTTTCTATTTATTTAAACATTTTGGCAAAAGGAAACTGATTAAGAAGTCTGCTAGGATGAGCCTGCAGGGGTGGTTTCGAGCCTGTCATTCTCTAAAATTCAAATACACATCATTGATAAATCAAATAAATTAACATAAAATGTGCTAGTTGTTTAAGATGTTTATGGTAAAATGCTGTTTCAGTGCAGTCTAACCACCAGATGGCCCTAAAAGTACAGTAGAGACACTTTAAGTCTTAAAGTGTCACAGGCCTTTAAGTTAGATTGACACAGTTCACCTTATGTTTTAACAGCCCCGCCTACACACACAGAACAGAGGAAATGAGCTGAGCAAACAGCTCCTTGACACATCAGGGCAACTCTCAGCTGGCATGTGTTCCTGTGCACACCGTGTTCACTTAATGCAACTTCTGTAGGCAAGAAAAAGGAAACATACAAAATGGGAACATCTTCCTCTGGGTTGCTGGATGAGGCTAAAGTTAACCACATCAAAGGTAAATGAGAAACTTTTTTTTTTTTAATTTTGAACATTAGATACTCATAAAGAACTTATTTGGCTCTAATGAAAATTACTTTTACTGAACAGAGGGGGGGAAAGGCTAAGCAATGAGAAATCAAAAGTTTGAGCGTTTTGTCTGAGTGGTGTTTTAGTAGAACAAATAGCTTTACTTGTACTTCTTGTGCAAATGGTGGCACCTGAAGCTTTTAGAAACATCTACATTTTATGTCCTCTTTTATGCTGCTCACTTATTATTGTCTAATCACAATAAAAACCTATATTATTGTTTTTAGCTTCACGTTTTATGTTGAGTTTTAATTCACAACCGCAAAGCGACAAAATATCAAACAAGTTCCCTGATAGAAATAATTTTCCACAGAGGGATAAGAAATTCACTGATAAATATTTGAAGCCTGCAGTGTTTTACTACATCAAATTCTGTGACGGACTTTGAGTATTTAGTTTTACTTTAGTTGAGTGTTTCTGCACAGAGGCAGGCAGGAAATGTGGGGAGGGGTGTTGCATTTCAGAGCAAGTCCTCAGAACTACACTGAGGACAGTGCTGTTAAACGTCAGTCGCTTTAACCACCAAACCACAAGGATGACTTCACTGTGACAATGTCACGGATTAAAAAAAAAGAGGCTAAATTCAAAATGGACTGAGATTAAATTTATTTTCAGTGATGAAATGAAGTAAATGTACAAACAGGTAAAAACCTAATGTACTCTATGAATGCTTTTAGTTTATTTCTCCATGTTATCAGCTCAGACACATCCTGTCACTAATCTTCCCTGCATACTAGAGGCTAATTGCAGCTATTTCCAACCATTATATTATTATAGGTTGTCTGATCTTGTATCTGTGTTTGAGATGAAAGGCAGACTGACTCAAAGAACATGTGACACTGGCTGCACACTGCAAACAAATGAACAAAGATAAATTAGGACCTGGACAAACAACTTTAAAGATCTACTTGATATCAGACGGTTAACTTGACATATAAAGACACACGGACTAATACATTTATTTGTTCTGCTTATGTGAAGTCAAGGTTTTTTTTTAATAATATAAAAAAACTACTGAGATCTGTGGGTTGCATCAAAGCGGGGGGGGGGGGGGGGGATGTCTTCTCCTAGATTTTAATGCCCTCATAGAACACCACCTTTCCAAACGCGTGTCGTGGAAAAAAGATTCCCAAAACAATTGCGTGCAGACTTCATCAGATTTATTACAAAGCTTTGGACAACAGCCAGCAATCACAGAAGATCAGTGCATTTCCAAGTACAACTATCAATGCTTTCACCTGAACAGAAATCAGTTCTGTAGAAACATCCAGCTGCTAAGCCCTCCCCACCCTGTCCAGATTTATCAGAACCCAGCTGCAGTCAGAACTTGAAGCGGAGAAATCTGGGGGCCGGACAGCCCCCAAGGCCTCTGGAACCACGTCACTGTCATCATATCAATCACCTTGAGAATAATCTAATTATCTCTTGCTGTCTCTTTACTGACCGGTCACATGAAGACTGATTATAGTAAGGATCATGGAACATTTTAACATTTTAATATTCACAATAACGGTAAAAGAGCAGTGCATAAGATACATTAATCACAGTAAATAGTAAAATTATGGAGCATGGGTGCAAATGATACACATTCCCTTGATACATGTCTAACACAATCAGCTTTCTGTTGCAGTTTTGAGTCTGCTCATTTCAGTAAAACTCCTCGCCTTACTGTCAGTCTCGTACAGTTCAAGTGTAGTTCATTTCTAACACCACTTAAGTGAGAATATTCAAGCATTAAACACTACTTTTAAAGGAATAAATATCTGACATGTACAGTCATTTGGAATAGATTTATTTTCTTT